GAAGCAAGAGGCTATTCAATCGGCGAGGGAGAAAGAGGCCAACGCATTATCCGCGATAGGACTGGAGCAGAATTGGGGGAAACTATGTGGGTCGGAGAAGAAATGGCTCTGCGTTTGCAGGTGATCGAGGGTAATCTCACCTCTTAATCAGATGTTTCTCAGTTTGGTACTAGACTTCACTCGTATCAGTCTTTTATGTTGGTTTTTTTTAGTTTGGTTATATTTTGTTTTCAGTTTGTTGGTCTGATTCATATTCTGCTACTGGATTATGGATTCTTTGAACCTAGAATGGCTTGGTTTTAATCTAGTTTTCAAAACTTTTTTTTTTATTTCACTATGCTATATGCTTTTGTCAAGTTTTGTTAATGGTCAAAAGGGGCCGAATTCTAAGTTAATACTGTGAATTCAAAGGAATTGAAATGGAAGGAGGAGAAGCTTTGGTGTATGTTTAGTTGTAATCACTGATCACAAAAGTCTAAAGCATCGATAACTCTTGTAGACCATCGTTGGACGGTTGTCAGAGAAGCTAGCGTGTGGGTTAGGGTTGATTACTTAACCGGATTAAACCGTATAAATTAAACCAGACTTAACCACATTAGATTTCCCCTTTTGAATAAATAACAACACTTAAATAATCTCAATTCGAAAACTACACGCAAATCGACAAAATCCAAAAGAGTATTTAACTTTAACAGATATAAACTGAGTTGAATGTATTTTTCAATTGAACTAAACCGAACTGATAACCGAGCTTAAACTTGAAAATGTCTACACTTGAACGACTCATTGGTTGGTAATTTTCCTAATTGAGATTTAGGGTTTGCGGTTTGGTTAACTGTATAAATAGAAAGTGTTGGGTGTTAGGGAATAGTTTATTCGCTTTCGCTTTCTCCCCAAAAGAATATACAGAAAAAGACGCTTAAAGAAATCGTGACGGTTACTGCAATGGCGGCGCCGAATATACCCGACGCAGTTTCCGATGACCTGAACTATGAAGAATGGGCACCAACCGCAAAAGCTACACTAACGGAGGAAGGACTTTGGGATATTGTCGAAAACGGAGTCTCACCGGATCCATCGAAGATTCCGGAGCTATCGGCGACGATTCAAGCCGAACAACTTTCCAGATGGAGAGATCTCGTGGTGAAAGACACGAAAGCGATCCAGATATTGCAATCTTCTCTCACAGATTCTGCTTTTAGGAAGACAATCTCGGCTTCTTCTGCCAAAGAGGTTTGGGATTTGCTCGAAAAAGGTAACGAAGAAGCGAAGCTTCGTAGATTAGAGAACAAATTCGAACAACTTAGTATGGGTGAAAGAGAATCGGTCGATTCCTACTTCGATAGGGTTACAGAAATCGTTGAAAAGTTGCGCCGTTTGAAAATTGAGAAATCCGATTACGAGGTTATCAAGAAGGTGTTAGCTACTCTCTCAGGGTCTTACGATGGTGTAGCTCCTGTGTTGGAAGAACTCATGGATGTTCATAAAATGACTTTTAAGAGTCTTGTTGAATTTTTCCATAGATATGATTCAATAACAGAGGAAGATGTGCATCTAATGTTGAAGGCTAATAGGCTTAAATGGGAGGCTCAGAACAAGAACAATCACAATCAAAATCAAGAAGACCGAATCTCTACGTCTGCGAAATGGAGTGGACCGAAGCAATTTAGACGGAACAAAGGCGTATGCTTTGAATGTGGAGAAAAAGGGCATAAAGCAAGAGACTGCAACGGAAAGAATCAGCAACCTGCGGCGACAGAAGCTCGGAGTC